GTTTGGTTTATTTTGTTTTACGGTATATCAACCTCAATGGGTTATTTAATGCCGACAACATTTTTAGGATAGATTCGTATGAATAGAATATGTATTCTTTGGTTTAGATTGGTTCGGTTTATTTTGTTTAACGGCATATCAATCTCAATGGGTTGCGTAATGCCGACAACATTTTTAGGATAGATTCGTATGAATAGAATATGTATTCTTTGGTTTAGATTGGTTTGGTTTATTTTGTTTTATGGCATATCAACCTCAATGGGTTATTTAATACCGGCAATATTTTAGGATAGGTTCATATGAATAGAATATGTATTCTTTGGTTTAGATTGGTTTGGTTTATTTTCTTTTACGGTATATCAACCTCAATGGGTTATTTAATGCCGACAACATTTTAGGATAGATTCGTATGAATAGAATATGTATTCTTTGGTTTAGATTGGTTTGGTTTATTTTGTTTTACGGTATATCAACCTCAATGGGTTATTTAATGCCGACAACATTTTTAGGATAGATTCATGAATAGAATATGATTCCTTTGGTTTAGATTGGTTTGTTTATTTTGTTTTACGGCATATGAACCTCAATGTTATTTTGCCGACAACATTTTAGGATAGATATGAATAGAATATGTATTCTTTGGTTTAGATTGGTTTGTTTTTTGTTTTACGGCATATCAACCTCATTGGGTTATTTAATGCCGACAACATTTTTAGGATAGATTCGTATGAATAGAATATGTATTCTTTGGTTTAGATTGGTTTGGTTTATTTTGTTTTTACGGCATATCAACCTCAATGGGTTATTTAATGCCGACAACATTTTAGGATAGTTCATATGAATAGAATATGTATTCTTTGGTTTAGATTGGTTTGGTTTATTTTGTTTAACGGCATATCAACCTCAATGGGTTATTTAATGCCGACAACATTTTTAGGATAGATTCGTATGAATAGAATATGTATTCTTTGGTTTAGATTGGTTTGGTTTATTTTGTTTTTATGGCATATCAACCTCAATGGGTTATTTAATACCGGCAACATTTTAGGATAGATTCGTATGAATAGAATATGTATTCTTTTGGTTTAGATTGGTTTGGTTTATTTTGTTTTACGGTATATCAACCTCAATGGGTTATTTAATGCCGACAACATTTTTAGGATAGATTCGTATGAATAGAATATGTATTCTTTGGTTTAGATTGGTTTGGTTTATTTTGTTTTTCGGTATATCAACCTCAATGGGTTATTTAATGCCGACAACATTTTTAGGATAGATTCGTATGAATAGAATATGTATTCCTTGGTTTAGATTGGTTTGGTTTATTTTGTTTTACGGCATATGAACCTCAATGCGTTATTTAATGCCGACAACATTTTTAGGATAGATTCGTATGAATAGAATATGTATTCTTTGGTTTAGATTGGTTTGGTTTATTTTGTTTTACGGCATATGAACCTCAATGGGTTATTTAATGCCGACAACATTTTTAGGATAGATTCGTATGAATAGAATAAGTATTTTTTGGTTTAGATTGGTTTGGTTTATTTTTGTTTAACGGCATATCAACCTCAATGGGTTATTTAATGCCGACAATATTTTAGGATAGATTCATATGAATAAAATATGTATTCTTTGGTTTAGATTGGTTTGGTTTATTTTGTTTTACGGTATATCAACCTCAATGGGTTATTTAATGACAACATTTTTAGGATAGATTTATGAATAGAATATGTATTCTTTGGTTTAGATTGGTTTGAATTTTGTTTTACGGCATATGAACCTCAATGGGTTATTTTGCCGACAACATTTTAGGATAGATTTTGAATAGAATAAGTATTTTTGGTTTAGATTGGTTTGTTTATTTTGTTTAACGGTATATCAACCTCAATGGGTTATTTAATACCGGCAACATTTTTAAGATAGATTCGTATGAATAGAATATGTATTTTTTGGTTTAGATTGGTTTGGTTTATTTTGTTTTATGGTATATCAACCTCAATGGGTTATTTAATGCCGACAACATTTTTAGGATAGATTCGTATGAATAGAATATGTATTCTTTAGTTTACATTGGTTTGGTTTATTTTTTTTTACGGCATATCAACACCTCAATGGGTTATTTAATGCCAACAACATTTTCAGGATAGATTCGTATGAATAGAATATGTATTCTTTAGTTTAGATTGGTTTGGTTTATTTTGTTTTACGGCATATCAACCTCAATGGGTTATTTAATGTAGACAAGATTTTTTATTGCTGGTAATATTTTCTTTTGTCAAAAATCTGTTTCTGGTAATATTTTTCCTTCAAAATTGTATTGCTGGTAATAATTGTTTTCCAAAAAGTATTCTTGGTAATAGTTAACTTTTTACCCATAGCTGGGACCCTAATAGGTGCTACCACCGCGGGTCAGGGTGGATCTTGGAACACCAGCAATTAAGAGGTGGTTCCACAAAACCTCCTGATCAGAGGTCTTGCTGCTGGATGTAGTTTATCG